TTTGCATTATAAACAATTGGGCTTTTGACAAAATTCCAATATACTCTAACCTATGGACGAGACTATGCGTATTTTTTTTAGTTTGTTCACTTATCCCTCGTATTTCAAAAAATGGAGTTGGATATAAATTTTTGTTTCCAAAATATAAAATGTATCCACCACAAAGCTGAAGACTAAATACCTAGTTAGGGGTCAAATAAGGGTTCATTCTTGCTGTTCAATTTAAATTTGCGCAAGCAAGATAATGGACATGACGGAACGTCTATCTTGGCCTTTAGAGTATATTGGACTTTTGTCAAAAGCCCAATTGTTTATTATGAAATTCTTTTGAAAACGGCCGCTAGGGGAATTTCCAACCGGAGCCTGTAGTAAAGTATCCTCAAAAAACTCGCGAGCGGCAAACCTCTCTTATACATCAGATTCAATCACTTGTAACTAATTTTCCAGTGCTAAATGCTAAGTGAACTGCCAAGGTAATATTTTATTTTGAATTATCTGTGGCCATTTTTACGATAAATGAGTTACACATTACGGACAATATTGCAGTTTTGCAAAATTTGGTATCGGGGAATGCTTGAGAGACAATTTCACTTACGAAATAAGAAAAAAATAATATTGGCGCATATTTAAGCATATAATCAATGTCAGGATTGATAACCACTCTGTAAAGATACGAAGCAACCTGCAAAAAACTGTTCATCATTGCTGCAACAGCTATAAAAAATTTATATTTATTTTCGACTGTGTAGAATATCATGTCTTGTGATATAGAACAGATGCTTTCTAGAACAGAAAGTGAAAAAAAGTGGAATAAAAAAATTATTTGTCTTACCATCAATGGGACGGTGAAATAATAATAATTCAAATATATTTAATTTTATTTGATCGTTCATTTTAAGGTTTTCAAAATACTACGAGACAAATTTTCCAGTGCATAGATTTATATGGATTCTATAAGTTAATTTCAAAGCAAAGCATTGCAGTGGGCGGGAAATTTGTTTGATGTAATCGAATAGAGACTCCAGAGCTTTTTGTGAATATTTCTCTTTGATGATTTTTTAGCTTCTAATGTATCAAATAAGTATGGCTAATGAAAGACTGCGTACTCTTTCACTGTAACAAAAGTAGAGAAAACAAATTGGCATTTTTTGTATAAAGTAGAATTTATTTTTGAGAAGTCGAACTTGGAAAATGGGGCTATTTTTGTATCTAAATTCGGCCCTCGAACATCTTTTTATAGTTAGTGGTTTTTAAAGTGCTGTCATAAGACATCTATAAAATTATTTTATTTTTTTTTTGAAATATTTTGGATTGTTATTTAAGGGGGTACACATTTTTGCGTATTTTCTAATGTGTAGTGTGTAACACCCTGTAGTTACAATAGTATTCCCCACCCTAGATATTATATAGTAATTGATTTTCTATGTATAGTTTAGTTTATTTTGATGTATACCTTGAAAAGGTATACCAGTAAAACCTGTTAATTAAAGTTGTGTCTCAAGATTATTTAGATGACTAAAATAGTATATTAAAGTATAAGTGGATATTAATTGTAGAATGCCCAATTCGTGCTTGACACTTGTTATATTTTATTTGACGTTATCTACAAGTACCTACTCCTGACAAATCAATAATTAAAAAGTTGACATTTAGACCTTTCTCGGGTTGTTGGTTGTTGATGTTGTCATTGGTAACTTTAAAACACGCGCGTTTTTGAATGTTGGATTTAAACACGCTGAGGAGTACTTTAAATAAGTGAAAAAGGTTATCAATAAAAAAATAGTATATTAAAGTATAAGTGGATATTAAGGTCTTTAAAACACGCGCGATTTTTCGAGCACGACGGCGCAGCCGGAGTGCTTGAAATAGAGCAAGTGTTTTAAAGACCAGTTATCCACGAATACTTTACACTATTTTTTTTTTATTCGTATACGTTCAAATCGTAAATTACTAATAATTGTAGAATGCTAAATTCGTGCTTGACACCTATTATATTTTATTTGACGTTATCTACTAGTACCTACTCCTGACAAATCAATAATTAAAAAGTTGACATTTAAGACCTTTCTCGGGTTGTTGGTTGTTGATGTTGTCATTGGCTACTTTAAAACACGCGCGTTTTTGAATGTTGGATTTAAACACGCTGAGGAGTACTTTAAATAAGTGAAATAGGTTATCAATTAAAAAAAAATATATAAAATTTTCATATTTTATTCGAAATAAGTCCTCCCTCGGTGAATATTTATGGCCTTTTATTCTATGTAAGTATAACAAATTGGCCCTTCTCGTATACCTAATTGACTAGCTCAGTCAAGCATCAAATATTAGAACATTTAAAATGTTTTATAGGAGATGGAAGAGGTTCTCAAGAAAATCTAGGAATGTCCAAGTTTGCAGGAGTTGAAGAAAAAGAGAGTGAAGAGGATTTAGGATTGTCTATACATAAGTCTATATAGAACCTCAAGCCGGCTACACACGGTCCGGCAGGCCTGTCAGTTCGAACTGAACAGTTCGACTGAAGGCCGGTCGCCTGAACCTGTATATACTGTATATACTTCGGTCGATCTGTCAGTTGAGACTGTTCAGGTGGCCGAAGAAAAATTAAAAAATATGTTCGTTTATCCGGCCGGCTTGACGTACTCAAAGGCAAGTCTGAACGTGTGTTTCACTGCTATCAGTTCAGATAGTTTCAGTAGTGAGTAGTGAGTTTACGTCATATCGCGCAAAATAGAAAAAAACCTTGAGGTGGGATGCTTTCCCCATTATAGTATTTTTTCTTTCCATCAAAGGAGCTACCAATGATAAAAGCTGTAGACAGATAATATGTATCTTCATCCATACGCAGATAATTGTGCCAACTTCAATTTATTCAGAAAATTCACATGAGAGGATACGCGCCTTTTTTTCAACCAATCTTTACACCATATTGCACGTTTCTTCAATAGGGGCCATGATGATTGAGACTGAAGAATATTTCAGATTCGCCTGAACATTTGGAGGGTCATCAGTCCATCCGGCAACCGGTCTTCAGATGAACTGTTCAGTTCGAACTGACAGGCCTGCCAGACCGTGTGCAGACGGCTTAACTTGGATGACTGGGTAGAAGGCCAGGATTCATGGAATAATAATAACAGGTTTGACAGAAAGGCATATTCATCGACGGAAAAAATTCAAATGCAATAAATTTTTCTTCTTAGTTCTCCAAAATGTTAACTACGCAATCAATGCCAAAAGATTTCCCATTTTCTGACGGTAATTTCGTGCACTAGATGCATTCGAAATTACCAACAGAAATATTCCAGTTGTAATCGGTGAAGATCAGGACGCTAAATCGAATCTGACAATACGAGTTGAATTAAATGCCGATCAAAATAACTATACAACAACGAACTGGATTACAGAACTGAATATATAGAAATGAGAAATTACGGTAAATTGTGACCTCTTGTGCTTACTTTATTACTGATATCGAATTATTGCAGTTTGGAATAAATTTTCTTTTGATATAAACGTTGTTTTTATTTAGAAAAATAAAATAAAATTTAATTTAAAAAAAACGACTCTTTTTAGAGGATAATAAAAATAACGTTGTTATCGAATGTAATACCACAAGAGGTTTCAGGATTACCGGATAATACTTTTACCTGTCACGAAACGCGGAGTGGTGTTGCTGGTAACGCGTTGAGTGTCAGGTAAAAGTATTAGGTAATCCTGAAACATCGAGTGGTATTCAAAAGGTTATACAACGAACTAAACTTCAATACTTTATCAAGTTTTATGATCATTAATGACAAATTAACAATATTGCCACCAAGCACGATAATCCCGAAAGGCTTATCACTTGTTAAGCCTCCCGTGTCATATGGGAATAATGTACAGTGAGTTGTATAATCTTCGTTATCCAATATAGCGTCACACTGGATTTTGAGCTCTTGATACGAGAATTATGTTGATGCCATTTCCAGTGTGTTGTAACACGTATGAGCCACATGATAACCACTAGCTTGGCAACTAACAGTTAATTTTTCTGGCATATTTGTGGACCTAGTTGCAAATAGTAACATTTTGTAAAACTTTTCTTCAATCAAATTGTTTAGATAAGTTTTAAAAAATAGATAATTCTTATTTTTGTTGAGTTCTTCTGGTGATGTTTTCATAATGTCAATCAATCACTTTTGACGCAGTTGCTGCCTGTTTCCTATAGAGATAATTGATTTTATTTTCTGTTAAATTTTGAAAAAACACTTCACAGAATAGCGGTATCCCATCCCAACTTTAATTTTCTTTATTGAAGGGTAACTCTCTTGACATAGAAGATTCCCCACAATAGGGTGTTTGACAGTAGTAAAAAATTAATGTATATTTATCTTTAGCTATTGCTTAAGGTCTAAAAAATGCTGCAAACAAACTTTTTTTCCATTATTTGTTAAAATCATAGTGATTTTAATCAAAGAAATTCATTAAATTTAAACATTTAGTCACTTGATTCGAAACAGGCGGTGCACCAATCAGCTGCGAGTGACGTCACAACAAACAGTCGGCTTTACCGGCAAGCTCAACCTAATTTTCGTGATTGGTGCAGTCAGTTTGCGGATTAATATTCTAAATTATTGTGTTAGTTACTTTTATAAAAAAACATCAGCAATGAAAAGCGGTTTCTGCAAAGCGGATTGTTCCAACTTGCCAATGCTAAATTCGACTATGGTGGCAGGCTTCTCAGAACAATTTATATATCTAATATTTGGATCAACGACTATAAAAAAGACCCTTAAATTTATATCCACTTGAATATGGTTGACAGTTTGAAAAAGGAAAATATGCATGTAAATGGTTCGAGGGCGATCAGTTACTATCATCACTCATCAGTGAATATAATCACACAAGATTCAGAAGAAGAAGCAAATACTGAAGGTCCTAATTCATATTATTTGTGCTATTCATGCAATTATAATATTTATGGCTTTTTATACAATCATTATAATACTTATTAATCTTTCCAGGCATTGATGAAGAGGATGACGATATCTTACATACTGAGGATGAAGACAGTGATGTCTAATGAAGATAGTGATGACGAAGATGATTAAAGTCTAATTAATCACTGTTTCGAACTCTGACGATATATTTGTATTGTTTTACATGTTTTTGAATTCAATTTCTCATGGATCGCTAGAATTAAGTAAATTTATAGAATACTAGTGACTGGTAGAAACAATAATTTATTCGAATTTTAATAGAGTTATAAAGTATGATTCAACCTCCCTAGTTTTACACGCATATTTTTTTGTAAATAGAATTTCGGAAACGATTTCCTAAAGCATGATATTGATAGATTAACGAAAACAATCGTCCGCTGCCTCTATGTCGGTGAAAAGGTCGAGGGCTGGGGCCCCCTAACGCGTTTATGCTCGGTACCTTTATCTTGCGTGATCCCACCAGCGGACAGCTTTTCCACCGACATACAGGCAGCGGACGATTGTTTTCGTGAATCTCAATAAAAATAGTAGCTTTTATCAAAATTTCAAGCTTTAGGAAATGGTTTTCATAATTACGGTTTCCGGCCCCTTTTGGGCCATCAGCGGAACCTCATTCCACTACGGCCCACCCAGCGGACCATATCTAGGGTACTTTATGAAACATAACCTTCTTTTCGTGAAAGTTTAGTGCTTCAGGAAATTGTTCCAGATTTTATTTTTTTTTCCCCGACTTTGTAACCCCCTGGCAACCCTCTCTACCGCTACCTAGTCAGCGAACGCCCCTCTGACATCTCAGCGTCGTAAATAAAATAGGTTAATCATGAAACGGAGCTTTAGGAAATCATACCCTATTTTGAACGTGGGAGGCAGGGGTATCAAGTAATGTAATTAATTGTCATAAAATATAATTCCAAAATTTTGCCTCTATGGTTGTTTATTTCCATTAATTTATTTGAAAGTAGCCTAGTTTTACAGTCCACCACATGAAGAGTTATGTATGTGTATGTACACTGGAGTTGGTGAAACCACGGTCGCAAAAATTCACAAGAAAGATGAGGAGAGGTTGCAAACTACGCATGAAAGCACACTCACACAAAAAAAAAGGACCTCGCCTCACCATTCAAGAAAAATATGAAGATTTTGATTTCGGGTCGCAGAAACATTGAATCGTTTTATTAAGAAGAAAAGGTCATCACAACAACGAGGAAATTATTGATGAAGCAACAAGAGAATAATTTTTCATTTTCACGTGAAACTTTGAAGCTGTTATCCGAAGCCAATAGATTTTATTAGAAAAAGTGTCGCAATAAGCGAAAAATTTTCATGGAGAAACCGCATATTTTACATTAACAATTGTATATTAAGAGCCATGAGAAAGTATCACCAAGAAGTACGGAATATCGTCTATAATGACGAAACGTAAATTGATAACGATTTAACATGGCAAAGCGACAGAGTTTTTGGGGTGATCAACAACATGGGCTCAACTGGAGGCTTTATTGTAGTTCATGCTGGCACCGAAAACGGGTTCCTCAAAGATGCTTGTTTAATTTTTAAACCAGAATCAAATACTGGAGACTATCATGGCCAGATGAATAAAGAGAATTTCACCAAGTGGTGAAAAGAAAAGCTTTTTCCAAATATTCCTAATAGTTCTGTTATTGTAAAAGATAATGCGCCTTAAAACTGAACACAAGAATATAAAACTCCAACAAAAAAAAAATTATATGATGGTTGGAGCGAAAAGGACTGGCGCATGATTCCAAATCAAGAAAATTTGAGCTTTATGAGCTAGGTCTCTTGCATAAGCCTTCAGATGATGAAAAAGATTATGTCATCGATAACATAATTCGCTCTAATGATCATACCTTATCAAGAGGGCCTCCTCACATGTGCGAGATCAATCGCAATGAGTTAGCATGGTATCGAGTTAAACAATTTATTCGAGCCCATAATCCAAAAGAGGAATTTACCATAAAATCTTTGAAAGATATGACTGAAAAAGGCATCGCTTCAGTTGGACCCTCCGAATGGAAAAGCATGTGGTGACATTGGAGATTGGTTTTGGCAGAAAGATAAATACATGGAAGTGCAGCCATTAATAATTAACGTTGATGGAAGTGACGATGAGAGCGATAGGAGTAGAAATAATAGTCAAGACAATATTGATTCGGACATTGAAAATATGTATCGACTAGATTCATTATATTATTCCACATTCCTATTTCTATCGAAGTACCTGCCTGATTGAAATTATCATGTGTTTTCATTTAACCGTTTTTTTTTTACAGATTTATGTTATTGTTGCCTGGCTGACGGCTAGATTTTAATTTTTTGTTTAACAAACATCATAATTTATTTGAATGCCTTATACGCTTGATTAGTGATGACATCACGTATTGGGCTACGTTACTACCTGAATCCAAACAAATACCATTTCCTCTGTGTTTCTTATGAAACATAATACAAGTTTGTGTTCTCAAAAGTATGTTTAACTTCTTAGCGAAAAAATCCTGCACAAAGAAAGTAGAAAATATTCTTTCTTCATTACTCAAAACACCGCCTCTATATTCTTCAGTCTCTCCTAGTGAACAGAGTTGGGCCCTTTGTGTAGTTCACTAGAGGGTTGTAAGGCCTCCAAGGTCCGTATCTCTGTGCGTGACGTCCAGGAATTATTGCCTGAAAGTCACTAGTTATCTTGAACCAAGATAACGACTACAAAGCCCTTAGGGAAGAACTTTGGGGATAATTATCACAAATGGCTACTTTGTGTAATTAAATGAGTAGAAACTATTATTGTTTGATACTCGCTTTATTATTCAAATTGATTCTTATTTATATTAAATATTTCAATTTGAACCTAACAATATTTATCATAACTAATAATAATTAATTACAATATTTTTCATAACTTAATAACAATTAAAGGTGTGTTGACTTTGTATCTAAAACACTGGCGCTACGCGGTATCATAACGGAAATTAAGGTGAAAAACCCGTGAACATCGATTCGTGGTTTTTTAGTAACTTTGGGAAGGTTTGCGATGGGTTTAATTACCTTGCCTTATTTCCTAATAAATTGTGGATTTTATAATGATGTAGAAATTTCAGATTAAATTAAAATTTATGTTGAAATTTCTAATTTATGTTGATTCAACATTCTCCCTTGTCTCGACTGAGTCTAGGTTGCGTAGTGGCTGCAACTCGAGCATTTCAGTTTGTTTTGCTGACTCCGGCCTATTCCTCTGCCTGCGTCGGGTTGCGTTCGTTATTTGTTTTTGAATGACCCATACTAATAATAATATCGCAAAAATTATTGCTGCTGACACTCCAGTGGCGGCGTATGTGTGGGTTTGTATGTTTTTCCAAATTGCCGTTTGTAGCTGTTCCCGAATCTTTTCTTCATTTAGTCTCACTGTATTCAAGCTGTCGGAGATTTTGAAAATTGGCTCTTCTTCGAGTTGTTCTGGTTCGTTATTTTGCGGGACGTCTGTTATGTTGATGAGAATCGCCTTGGAATAACTCGCAATTACTGGAGCGGTGCTTACTCGTCTTGTCGTCAGAGTGTTTTGTTTCGTTTTGACTATGCAATCTTGTTCCACTTGCAGGATTCCACTTTGGTTCAGAGCAATGTCTTCTCTGATTCCCTTGCATATCACTGCTATTTTGGTAGGATTTTTTGTGATGAATAGCCATGTATTAGGCATGTAGAGTTGCTTCCAAACAATGGATGTTAGTCCATTCTTCCGGACTCCGCACCGAGTTGACTCCGATCTTTGATATATTTCGTCAATTATGCAATTCGGATTGGTCTCTATATTTTTCACTGCTGTCGGAGAGCACACATATTTGTTTTGTGATGTCGATATGCATGAGGTGAATTCTTGATCGCTTTGCTGGAAATATTGCTGATTATTGTAGTCCACTGCTACTATCTCACTGGGAATTTCAATTGTCCAATATGACCCATTTTCTACTTTTAGTGGCGTGGGCACAATCTTCAGAACTTCAAACTTGGAAATATCTTCGATCATGAAAAATGTAAATATTTTTAGTGATTGCTCGTCCTTTTCTACCTTCGTCAATGTGATCGGTGCTTGTACTATCTTCAGATTTGAGGGTAGTTTTTTGTTTGCTTCTGTGATGATTGTCTTTACGTGTTTTGGCGCTAATAACTCATACAGTGTTGCGTTGTTGTACAGGATTCTGAAGAGTTTCTCGTAGTACTCACATAGTTCGTCGAGGTAGTTGTTTGCTAGATTGTATGCACTCAACAGATGAATATTCAACGAGTTGGTATCGACGGCGCTATACCAGTTTTTCATTGCATTTACTGCCTCAATGCCTTGATTCAATTTTGTTCTGAACTGTTCCAATTGACGTTGGATGCGAACTTCTGTCTCGTTTATTTGTGAAATGGCACTGATCATTACTTTGCTCTGATGGTTGGCTGCCTTTATAAGTTCATCTTGATTCGACTGCAAGCTGCTGATGTCTCTGTATACCTCGTCGTTTACTCCAAAGACTGAGGTAAGTAGTTCTCCAAATAATCCTCTTTTCCTGCGGGTTCCTGCTATTTGCATACTCTCTTTCACAAGAAGAATCTCTTTTTCTCTTTCAATTAAGTGCTTGGACAAAAGATGACACTGGGTCTCCTGGGATAGGGCCTTTGTTTTATTGCACAGCTGCTGGAATTCTTCGATGATTCTCGAAGCATTTGCTACGTCTTCGTTGATCCTTGTTTTGTCTATATTTATTTGTAATCGGAACACCCCTCTGTTTATGCTTGCTACTCCTATATGCTCCACATATATGCCTTTTTGCGGATGATGAATCGTGTAGTTCGCTTCACTGGTAGGTGTCCATATGACACACATTGCTAGCAGGATGAATTTGCACACTTTGCTCATGCTTCTATTTTTACCGTTGTTTTCTCTCACGGCTTTTTCATTGGCTTCTGGTTTTTCCTGTATTGGTTCGTCTGTTTTTTCTACTGGTAACGGAATCAAGCTGGTTATGGCCCGTTTTAGTGTTGTGTTGCCTTTTCTCAAGGTGACAACTCGGATGAGGTCATCTTTGCCAGG